TCCATCCATCCTCCTTAATGAGTAACCTCCTTTCTCAGATCTGGCCTGCTAGATGAATGAGGTAGGATCTGTCAGCTCTGCAGGCCAAGCTCCCCTAAGGCCTCCCTAAGCCGGGCAATGAGGGGCCGTGACTGATGGTGGTCCAGCCATTCCCTGGAGACAAGGACTGTGCAGTAGGAAAAACAGTAGACTTGGAGTTCTGAAAGTTTGCTGAGCTTCAGTCTCATCTGTTACAGAGGCTACTAAGTTCTCATTTGGAAAGGTTAAGAGCAGCACAGAAAGCATGTAAGGTCAGAGGATTCATTGTACAGAAGTGAGGTGCAGCGAGAGACTCCCTTTTAGAGGAGGGTGCTCCACATTTGTGCTCCTAGAACCGCTGCCAGGGAAAGTGGGCTGGGAAGCAGCAGGATAGTGCGGGCTAGACATGGGGCGCTGCTTGACGGGTGTGTGGGGACCTGCGGTGTGGATACTTTGGTGCCCTTCCCTGGGCTCTCTGAGGAGCCTAGAGCAGAGTAGGGAGTCTGGCTCGGGGTGGGGCTCAGCCCCCAGGCCCACCTCAGCAGTGACCCTGTATATGTGCCTCTCTTCCTTCTGCAGCTGCTGCCGCTCACCCCGTGTCTTCTGGCCGCTTCCCTCTTTGCTGCCCCTCCCCACAGGCTCCCCCTCTCCACCTCCTGGGGACCATCATGAATGGTGCCCCTTCCCCAGAGGATGGGGCCTCCCCTTCCCCTCCCCCCTTGCCACCGCCCCCTCCTCCTAGTTGGCGGGAATTCTGTGAGTCCCATGCCCGGGCTGCTGCCCTGGACTTTGCCCGCCGATTCCGCCTCTACCTGGCCTCCCACCCCCAGTATGCAGGTGCTGAGGCTGCCTTTTCCCGCCGTTTTGCTGAGCTCTTCCTGCAGCACTTTGAAGCTGAGGTGGCCCGGGCCTCTGGCTCCCTCTCGCCACCCATCCTGGCTCCCCTGAGTCCTGGTGTGGAGATCCCGCCACATGACCTGTCCCTTGAGAGCTGCAGGGTGGGTGGGCCCCTGGCTGTGCTAGGCCCTTCTCGATCATCTGAGGACCTGGCCAGCACCCTCCCTTCCTCGGTCTCTTCCTCTTCTACGACCTCCTCGAAGCCGAAGCTAAAGAAACGCTTCTCCCTCCGTTCAGTGGGTCGCTCCGTCCGTGGTTCAGTCCGTGGCATCCTGCAGTGGCGGGGGGCTGTTGACCCTCCCTCCCCTGCTGTGCCCCTAGAGACCTCAACAGGCCCCCCAGTCTTAGGTGGAAACAGCAACTCCAACTCCTCTGGTGGGGCTGGGACCATTGGCAGGGGACTGGTTAGTGATGGACCCTCCCCTGGGGACAGATGGACTCACCGTTTTGAGAGGCTGAGACTCAGTCGGGGAGGGGGGACCTTGAAGGATGCAGCAGGGATGGTGCAGAGGGAAGAGCTGCTGAGTTTCATGGGGGCTGAAGAGGCAGCCCCTGACCCAGCTGGAGTGGGCCGGGGGGGAGGGGCAGCCGGGCCTACCTCAGGGGGAGGAGGGCAGCCTCAGTGGCAGAAGTGTCGCTTACTGCTTCGGAGTGAAGGAGAAGGAGGAGGAAGTCGCCTGGAGTTCTTTGTACCACCCAAGGTGAGGCCCAGGGGAGGGGAGAGGGTAGGGAGCAAGTGATTGAACCCCCAGAGTGGTAGCAGGGCCCTGCAGGCCATCACCTGGAGTTCTTTGTACCACCCAAGGTGAGGCCCAGGGGAGGGGAGAGGGTGGGGAGCAAGTGATTGAACCCCCAGAGTGGTAGCAGGGCCCTGCAGGCCATCAGGACTCGCCTGCCCATGCACAGGGCTTTGTGTCCTGGCTTTGGGTTAGTAGCCGTGGCAAGGACTGAAAAATAGCCATTTACTTTTGTCTAGGGTGTAGAAGGGAAGAGTCTGGAGGGAAGGGAAAGGTGCTTTCTGTGCACCAAACACCTGCACCTGTTCCCTCCCAACCTAGGCGTCCCGGCCACGACTTAGCATCCCCTGCTCCACTATCACTGACGTGCGGACGGCCACGGCCCTGGAGATGCCTGACCGAGAGAACACATTTGTGGTTAAGGTAGGAGCCCTGGGCTCCCTGCCCTCTTGGAGCACTCGTGGTGGGGAGAGCTGTTAGCAGTCATAACAAGGGACAGCGGTGGGAGGAGGCGTTTTTGTCAGGTGCTCGAGAGTGTGTCCGTGAGGGGCACAGCTTTTCTGGGAGGAAAGGAGAGCAGGAGGACGCTCTGGTTGTTGGGGAGGATCAAGGTCTCGGGGCCAGAAGTGGCCTCTGAGCGTCCTCTTGCTCCGTAGGTGGAAGGCCCTTCAGAATACATCCTGGAGACGGCTGACGCACTACATGTGAAGGCCTGGGTGTCTGACATCCAAGAATGCCTGAGCCCAGGGTGAGGAGCTTGGCTTCTGCCTCTGAGAGGAGCCGGGGTGGGGATGGGGAGCAGCTTTGTGCCTCTCACCTGGTGGCTTGCCTCCCAGCACCATTTTTCTGTTCTGCAGACCCTGCCCTGCTACCAGTCCTCGTCCCATGACCCTCCCTCTGGCCCCTGGGACCTCATTCCTTACGAGGGAGACCACAGACAACCTGGAGCCTCCTTGCCTCAATCACTCAGAGAGTCTGCCCAGCCAGGATCTGCTGCTGGGCCCCAGCGAGAGCAATGACCGCCTGTCGCAGGGTAAGGGTGGAGCCTTCATACACGCACAGCCTTGGAGGCCTAGGCCCTCTCTCCAGACGCCATTCCCAAGCGGCCCAGTCCTGCTCCTCAGCTGCCTACTTCCACTTCCATCCCCCAAATGTTTATCTTTTATTCCTGAACTTGGGAAGCCAGTGAGCACCATCCACACCACCGCCATATCATCACGCGTCCCCAGCAAACTCCAGTCCACCTTTCTGTGCCCAGCCTGACCCGCTTTCCCTTAAGTCTTGTATAGGGCAACACTCTGGCTAGACATAATGGTTATCCTCTCCAAGCTTCCAGACCACTTTGTAGATGTCTTTGCTTTGTCCTTAAACTGCATCTGCCTGCATTTGTGCCAGTATTTCTCAGCTGACTAAACTCACGCATGTCCTGCTCACCACATAAACTCCCAACTCACCTTTACTGGGCTCCGCTACACCTCTTCTTCCTGTTCCTCTGGCTCGGCTTCACAGAGCCTAGCACACAGGCTGTGTTCAGTGAGTGAACAGATGAGATAGAGAATCTGAGAGCTAGAGTAAACCTAGCAAGGCACCAGTTCCAGCCCCCTCCCTTCTCAGGCAGCTAAGATCTTGTGGGGGTTGGGGGTGGAAATGACTGTGGTGGGTCATCTGAGAGTCACTGATGGCTGCTCTCTGGCTTGCTTGTACCTAGCTCTGAGCACTGACCATGTGTGATGTACTTGTAGGCCCGGACTGCCAGTCAACCCGCACTCGGGAACACGCTTGCACACGCCTGGCCCTGTGTTGGGCAGGGTAGGGAGCACAGAGATGCCCGACATGAATTCCCTGCACTCCGTGGGTTCACGTGGCTGAGCTGATAAGACATTGCTGCTGTGGAAAGTGGAACTCAGACACAGAGGCCTTGGGGGCTCAGAGCAGGAGGTGCCTGGGGGGAGTCAGGCTAGAGAGGGCGATGCGAGAACAGAGCGCGGTTCGCACGAGTAGCTGTCAAGAACTGAGACGTGTGATGGGGAGAGCCTGGGAGGTTCAGAAAAATCATATGGGATCATTGGGCTAACGCAGTATACATGAATACAGGCTGACTAAAGGTCAAGTCGGTTAAGTTGGGATTACTAGCAGTGTCTTTGGCATCTCGGAGTGGAGGGCTGGCTTTGTGCTATAGACAGGAAAAGGGCCTATTTGTAAAATAACAATGAGGGATTCTACCCTGTAAGTTCAGCTCGTGATTCAGAAAAGGCACCAGTGCGCTTGAGGCGAAGACAGTGCTGCAGTGACTACAGTGCCCTCACAGTGCAGGAAACCAGTAAAGCCGCCAGGGGTCACTGCCTAAAGAGGGACCCCGCACCTCAGCCAGCTGACTGGCCAACACTGCACATGGAGCCGTTGACTGGTGGTGACGTGGGCCCAGGCAGAATTCTGGAATTCTCAACTCAGCCCTCTCCCATTTTTTTTTTTCTAGGAGCTTATGGGGGCCTCTCAGACCGCCCCTCGGCATCCATCTCCCCCAGTTCTGCCTCCATTGCCGCCTCCCATTTTGATTCAATGGAACTACTTCCCCCAGAATTGCCCCCCCGAATGCCTATTGAAGAGGGACCCCCAGCAGGGGCGGTTCATCCCCTCTCAGCCCCTTACCCACCCCTGGACACTCCGGAGACAGCCACAGGTACCAGAGGTGTGAGTGTGTGTCAGCCTCCAGGCCCGCTGCCTGCCGCCCTGAAGCTATCTTGGCCTCCTGAAGCACCTGCCTGGGGTGGGGGGTGGGGGGGAGCAAGGCTTTTCATCTCCCAGGATGGGGGAGGCTTCCCTGACCCCGGTTTCCCTCCCTCTCTCCTTCCTGAAGGGTCATTCCCGTTCCAGGGGGAGTCAGAGGGAGGTGAGGGGGACCAGCCCCTCTCAGGGTATCCTTGGTTCCACGGGATGCTCTCTCGACTCAAGGCCGCCCAGCTAGTACTGGCGGGAGGCACCGGCTCCCATGGTGTTTTCCTGGTACGGCAGAGTGAGACAAGGCGGGGCGAGTATGTCCTCACTTTCAACTTCCAGGGCAAGGCTAAGGTGAGTGGCCGAGTGCAAGGCTCTGTTCCATGTAGTGAGCTTGCAGGTGGCGCGGGGGCACCTTGCTGGCGGGAGAAGCATTCTGTACTGGCAGGGGCTTAGGCTCCCGCTTCACCTGGCTCCTCCTGCCCTCAGCACCTGCGTTTGTCGCTGAATGAAGAAGGTCAGTGCCGGGTCCAGCACCTGTGGTTCCAGTCCATTTTCGATATGCTCGAGCATTTCCGGGTGCACCCCATCCCGCTGGAGTCTGGAGGCCCCAGTGACGTTGTCCTTGTCAGCTATGTCGTATCCTCCCAGCGACAGCAGGGTGAGCAGAGCAGGTCTGCAGGGGAGGAGGTGCCCGTGCACCCAAGAAGTGAGGAGGTGTGTGTGCCAGAAAGATGGGGTGGGGGGCTGTGAGGAGGAGAGTTTTGTTAGGGGGAGCAGGGTGGAGAAGGCCCCGGCGTGTTGGGGTTTAGAGGGAAGTAGCACATGAGAGTTCGTAGGCAGATGGGGCTCCTGCCGGAGCAGCGAGGCAGTGGAGAGGTGGGCGGGCGCATCCCATTCCATCCAGCTCCTCTGTCCATCATCCGTCTGTCTCCTAGACCCATCCTCCCGGCCTTGTCTCTGCCCTTCTTCACATCCTTGCTGATGGCCTGCCCTTCTTGGGGACACTGGGCTGATCCCCCTCCCTCCCCTGATGTCTGATGTCCCTGTCTGATCTCTCCCTTTTCCCCACCCCAACGTCCCATCTGTCCCCACATTGCCCCTCCCCCCCAGGCCGGGAGCAGGCCGGGAGCCATGCAGGGGTGTGCGAGGGAGATCGATGCTACCCCGATGCCTCCTCCACCCTCATGCCCTTCGGAGCGAGTGACTGTGTGTAAGTGTGGTCCTCCTCTCACCACCGCCCATGATCCATCTTCCATGGATGGGGGGTTGTCAGGAGATGGGGTGTGGGGGAGATAGCACACGGCTCCTGGGGGGCTGAGCGAAGGGAAGGACGCTGCAGGAGCTTGCCGCCCTCCACAATCAGTCTGTCTTCTTACCATTCCTGTCTAGAACCGAACACCTCCCATGACCTACCCCAGCCCCCTGAACCCCCTTCATGGACAGACCCCCCACAACCTGGGGCAGAAGAGGCGTCGGGGGCGCCAGAAGTGGCGGCAGCAGCAGCCGCAGCAGCCAAAGAGAGGCAAGAGAAAGAGAAAGCGGGCAGTGGAGGGGTCCAGGAAGAGCTGGTCCCCGTGGTTGAGCTGGTCCCCATGGTTGAATTGGAAGAGGCCATAGCACCTGGCACGGAGGCCCAGGGAGTTGCTGGATCTAGTGGGGATCCTGGGGTGACCCTGATGGTGCAGCTCCAGCAGCTGCCACTAGGGGGCGATGGAGAAGAAGGGGGCCATCCCAGAGCCATTAATAACCAGTACTCCTTTGTGTGAGGCACCCTCTCCCACCCTTTCTCCGCTCTTCTTGCTCCCCAGCCGTCAGTTGGAGAGACTGGGGCTGGGCCACGACACAGAGGAGCGGTAGGAATCCCTCCCCACATGCTTCCTGACCCTTGAAGGCCAAGGGCATGTATGATGGTACAAGAAAAGGTTTAAGAGCCCTGTTAGCTCCCCAGTTCATACACTACAGGTGCCCTGTCCCCTGGGCAGGGGATTCGGTTCCATGACCTCCCTTAGGGGCTCTATGGTCAACCCCACCCCTGGGGGCCATTTCCCTATTAACACCCCCCCAGCCCAAGGAAGGGTGTGGGGGAAGGGCTGTCAGTTATATTAAGGTGGTTGTTGTTGTTGTTTTAAACAAAATGGAGAAGCATAAATAAATAAAAGGGTTTATCTCAGTTCCATCGTGATGGCTGTGGCCAGTGTTTGCAGTGGGGGCTGGGCCAGGTGGGTCAGGAAAGCAGCCCACACAGTGTGGTCGGCGTCAGAGCCACAGGTTGGGAAGCAGGGTCAGGTCGAGTCCCTGTCGCGCACCAGCCTTGCGCCTCCAGCCCCCTGCCCCTCACAGGCTGCTGCGTTGGTCCAGCCGTGAATGCAGAGCCAAACAACTCTTCTCAGGGTCCACCACCAATGCCCTTAGTGGGACAGGACGGTGGACGGCAGGGTGGCCAGGCTTCAGGGGCTTTTCCTGCTCTGGCTCTGTCAGGGAAGGCTTCCCACCCTAGGGAAAAGCAGCAGCGAGGCCACGGGCGGTGGGCAGTGGCTGCGGGGCCCGTGGGGAGAGGAAGTGCAGCCACAGTCTGGCTGCGAGGGCCCAGGGCAGGCGGACAGCTCCCGGGGTCAAGCTGCAGAGCTGCAGGATGGACGGCAAAGGTGTAGCATTCCCCGTCTCAGTGCAGATGCTGCATGGGGCACATCTGTGAAATGGGAGTCACATCTAGCTTGGAGCTGCCGGCGTGATTGGTTTGGCCTGGATGATGTCGCCACTGGAGTTTCACAGATTACCAGCTTCTCTTGAAATCAGAAGACCCAGCCTCTGGGAGTTCACCTTTCACGGTGCCTCTTTTCCGCCCACCTCCTTAACTCGCGTGACCTCTGGCCCCATTGGCATTCAAGTTTACAGCACTACTCCCCTCCTCCTCGTCCCCCACTAAACCCAGACTCTGCCCTCTGAACAGAACTGTGACTTTGCTCTCCAACAGAGGGCACCCCTGGACTTTCTAGCTCTGGGTGGTGGGTACCAGCTAGGAGGGACAGGGTGCAGAAGGACCCTTCTTGTGTTACTTGGCCCTCTCCCACCTCACCTCCTTCAGCTCTGCCTCTTTACCACCCTGCCTTTTGCTTTCCTTCCCAGGCAGTGTGCCCCCCACTTCTGCCCCCACTTCCAGGAGGCCCTACCCGTGCGTATGACCTTGCTATTCTGGGCTTTGCGTCCTATTGGGAGATGGACAGGAGACAGCTGGGCTCACAGGCCACCCAGGCTGAGGGAGAGTGGGGGGAGCCTGTAGGCCCTCCCTGTTTTATGTGATCCCTGGGTCTCCCCTAAATCTTGGCCCCTGGAAACTCTGGAAATCTTGGCCTCTGGGGATAAAGTTGACTTTGAAAAGGGAGGCATTGTTTGGGTATCTGGGTGCTGCATCCTCAAAGTGAGAGGACAGTAAGGGCCATGGCATCCTGTGTCCCTCCTTACCTGCCCCCCCACCCCCAGTTAGCAGGACCTGATTCCCTCCTCTGGCAGCACCTGGTACTTCAAGACCTGGCCCCTCCCCTGAAACCTGCCAGCTTGCAGGGATTTACCTTCTGAAGATGGGTGGGGGAAGGGTACAGGGATACTCCTGCCCCCAAGATTTGCATGTCTTGGCTACAGACACCTAAGAGACTCCTAAGTCTTTCTCAATGGGCAGTTGAACTGAAGTTTGAAATTGGTCAGGGATTGGCCAGGCCCTGCATCTGTGTCCTTCAGGACGCAGCTGTTCCCATGAAGCCCTCAGGGAAGAAGCCTCAGGCTCTGGGCTGAGCTTAGAGACCCTGGGTGGGGGTAGTTGGGAGGCGGCTTCATCAGGCAGTCTTCATCCTCAGTGGTGATCCTCTTGCAGTCTTTGGCGCTGCCTTTCCCTCTCTGACTTCAGTTTCCCCTCTGGGAAGGTGGGGGAGGTAGAGATGAATAACCTTAAAGGGCCCTGCTGGTGGCAGGGGCCTAAGCCTGCCTCCTTTCCTGGGTCTCATGCTCTCACTTCCTTGAAGCTGTGCACTGTCCAGTCTCCTCCATGTTTGGGCATTCCTGTTCCTCTAAGACAGTGCCCCTGTCACTCCTCCAGGTGGTGGTAGTGGGGAGAAGCCAGCCAGCCCCCAAAAGCTTACCACAAAAGCTCAGCCACGCTGAGCCTGGCTCTGGTCTGAGAAGGTGGGTGCTAGGCCAGGTGGAGGTCCCTGTTGATATGACCCGACACACCCCATTGTCAGAGCCCCCCCCTTCTGGGTCAGAGCAGGATTCTACTTCAGGGGAGGGGTTTGGGAACCATGTAAAGGGGGGAAGAGAGAGGGAAGGAGCACCGTGTCCTTAACTCACCCAGGAGGCTGCCCTTCCCCCAAGCCCAGGCCTAGAAAGGATGAGTAAAGGGGGGGTTAAATCCTTAAGTGCACCCACCCCTGTTGACCTACCCACTCCCCAAAAGTGGCATTTCCCTTTCCTTTGCCTGCCGTCTTCTGTGTCTCTTGTCTATTTAGGAACTAGAGCACCAGAAAAACAAGCAACCTCCATGACCCTTTCAGCGGTCCGCGGCCTCCTCAGGAAACTGAGGCCCAGGTGGATTTAGGAGTGGAGGACAGGGTCACGACATGCTTCCCCTCACTGGCCTTTCCCAGGATTCTCAATGAAGCTCTCTGTCCTCCTCGTCTCCCCTCCCCACACCCCGTCCTACCTTCTGTCTGCTCCTCCAGCAGCTGCCCTGATAGGAACCAAAAGGTCCTCATCCCCAAGCAGGGGTGGGGGTGGGGGGTGGGGGGCTCAGAGCAGCTGCTTCTCTGAGGAAGCTGACACCAAGGCCAGCCGCTCAGCAACAACTTGTGGCTTTGCACCCAGCCCTGGCGCCTCCAACACCCACCTCCCTGTGACCCCTTTTCCCACCACACCTCAGACCTTCTAGCCCCCCCAGCACCCCCACTGCTCTCCCTGCTCTGTTGGGTCCTTTCCTCTAGACCTGCCCGAGCCCATTCCTTCGGGCTGCTGCCTCTGCCTTATCCAGCTTCCCCAGCCTCCTCTTCCGCCGCCCTTCTGCTGTCTCCCGTGGGTCTGAGCACACGGCTGCATACCTCAGTACCCTCGAGTACAGACACTCCGGAACCAGACTGCATCGTGAGCCACACACCTGTAAACGCTGGGCTAAAGGGCACAGTGTGGGGTGAGGTGACCCTCAATACATGATTTGGGGCGACCCCACCCCCATCCTGAGACAGCCCTCTCTGCCATCAGCACATTCTGTAGCCTCTTGGGTTACCCAGCTGCCTGGGTATCCCATTTTCTTGGGGGGAGGGGGGATTCCCTGTCAGGGATGGGGGGGCCTGAAGGCCATGTTCCCAGAGGCTCAGAGTGATGATGGGGGGGGGGGGGAGTTTAGGGAGAGACAGGCAGTCCTGGCTTTGATCACCAGGGCCTGGACACTAAATCCCTTGTTGATGGCTGTGGCAACCCCTCCCAAGGGTAGAGTTACCATCTTCTGCCCTGTCCCTTTGACCCTCTCTCTCCCTACTTCCCCTTGTCCCTGTAGAGCCACTTCCTCTGGCCCTCAAGGATGTTCTCCCCCTCTTTGAGCCCCTAAAAGTTGGAGTATCTCTGCTACCTTTTCTGTAAAATAGGTGAGGAGGATGGAGAACTGTGGCAATAGAAACGGGGTCAGGTTGGGTGAACTGGGAAGAGGTGCCAGGGGAGTGAACGTGGAAGGTCTGAGAGGAGTCAACTCAGGAAAGAACAGCCTAGGAAAGTCAGTAACAAGGAAGTCGAGGCAGTTGGGGGAGGAGTCACAGCCAAGACCAAAAGCAGCATCTCCCTCCCTGCCCCCCTTTCCTGGGGCTGCAGCCACCTTAGCTTCCCTCGTGAGTGACATCTCAGGCTGCAGCCCCACTGTTCCCCCTCTGTCAGCAGAAATATCTCTCTCCTGACCCCTCCTGCTAGAGTCTCAGCCAGCCAATCCCTGACCTGGGGGAGGGGGGAGCCTGGCCTCCCCTACTCCCTCATAAGGACCTGCTGGGGGTTAGGGGGGTGGCCGGCTGCTGCAAGTGGGACGGGGGTCAGAGCTCGTGGAGGGAAGACAAACCTGGGGGGCTAGGAGAGAAAAGGAAGAAACACAGACAAACAGGCAGGTGGACACACTGAGGAAGGCCCCCCACGTGTGAGAACCCCCTAGAAGGAACACACCGCCCCCTGGCCCCCGGGAAGGGAGCACCATGGAGGCCGCACACTCCAAGACCACAGAGGAATGTTTGGCCCATTTTGGGGTGAGCGAGACTACAGGCCTCACCCCGGACCAAGTTAAGCGGCATCTGGAGAAATACGGCCCCAATGGTGAGTGTCCCTTGGAGGAGACTGGCAGGGCCCCTCAGCACTGTAGCACACACGCAGACGAACACAGCAGCACTCCCTCCAGGGGCCCCTAGGGAAGAGCTGGGTCATGGTACAGATTGGGGTGGGGGGGAGAGGGGGAGGGAAAATGGACCCTGAGACTCAAGAGTTTGGGGAGGTATTATGGGATGACCTTGGTGAACCTCCGGTGCCATTTTGGCGGCCTGGTAGCCTTACCTTAGCCATGAAGTCCTGTGGTGGGGGGATCGGATTAGAGTGAACCCCCAATGAAAATGTCCTTTTCTTCTTTTTCCCTGGGTAGAGCTCCCGGCTGAGGAAGGTAAGTAACTGGAACCCCTGGGTTCTCATGAATGACCCCATCTCCTCTGTACCCCACCTGCCTTACCCCTAGTGACTCCCAGGACAGACGGCCCTCCCCACAGGTTAGAACTGACCGGGCAGAAGTTTCCAGGCACTTTCCTGTTGAGTTATCCAGCCCTTGAACAACTGCCCTTCCCTCTGGAAGCCTGTTTTTGACTCCTGGCAAGCTCCCTCCACCCTTCTGTTAGTATGGTGCTTATCACCCCATTCCTGCCTCAGGCTGGAATTCAGGGCACTCTCAGCCTCTGGACCCCGCTTGCACCTGAAGTCCCAGACGTCCAGCCTCTAGACCTTAATCCTAGGGGACCCTCTGCTTGCCTCTTCTCCCAGGCAAGTCCCTGTGGGAGTTGGTGGTAGAGCAGTTTGAAGACCTCCTGGTGCGGATCCTTCTCTTGGCCGCCTGCATTTCCTTTGTAAGTGCGGGGAAGGCATCCCTGGGACTGGCTGGGGGTGTAGTTTGGGGGGATCTGGAGAGGCTGCTAGGGGCTGGGGGGTCTCGGATTCCTCCAGTTCTCTAGCCCCAAAATCCTGTACAACAGACCAGAACTTGGGGAGGTAGGGGGCTGCTGAACTGCATCCTTCTCTGCCCTCCCCCACACCCTACAGCAGGTTTTATTTTAAGCTTTAAGGGCGTTCTCAGCCAAAACACTGAAGCTAAGCCTCCCCCGCAACTTCAAGGGCTTTGAGGGCTCAGCCAGGGCTGCTGCTCCTGGGCACCACTATTCCCAGCATGCCCTGGGGCACTGGGCCGCCCAGCCAATCCCCAAGCCTCCCGGCCCCCTGGCCCCACCCTCCGGACACTGATTGGTCCAGGCAGAGACTCTCCTGGAGGCGGGAAAGAGCAGCTGGTGTGAGGTGACTCCCAACCGCAGGGCCCAGTGCTCCCAGGCCCGCGCCTCGCCCCGCCCCACCCCCATTGGGGGCTGGCCCTGTGGGGTCTCCCGTCTCACCCACTCCCTGCCCACTTTCCTCCTTCCCCAGGGCCCCGCAAGGCCGCAGGGCTGCCCCCACCCCTTCCTCCAGGGCCGGCCACCTCCCCTGACTAGGGGCATTTTGGGGTGCTTCCTTAGCGCTTTAGTGCTTCTCCAAGGGGACGGGAGGCAAAAAAGCCTCCAGCTGGCCCCCCAGTACTAACTGGCAGGGCCTCACTCCTCCCTTCTCAGATTTGCTCCTTGACATTTGCCTTGGCTGTTGCCTGGCAGTGGCAACAGCTGGGGTGGGGTGTGTACAGGAGGCCCCGTAACACTATCCCCCCTCTCCTGCTCTCCCTCATGAAATTGGAGCTTCCGGGCCCTGAGCTGTCAGGGAGGGCTCTGGGTGGGCCAGTGCCTGTGGGGACCACAGGCTTTTTCCTATCGAATTCTGGCTCCCACAAAATGGATGTGCCATGGGGACAGTTGGCCGGGTGTTCCCTGGCTCGGTCAGGAAAACCTGAAAGTGTTCCTGATTAACTCCTGGGCTATGCCCGCCTGTTCCCTGTTCCCTGTTCCCGTGGAGTAATGGCAGCACTTGGAGTGTGTAGAGCCTCTCTGAAGGGGCTGTGGAACCCCCATGGTGCCCTGTTCCTTTCACACCTGCTCTTGCTCTCTCTGCCACTTCCTTCTTTGCCCCAGGGGGCCTCTTACCTGTTATCCTCCCTCCTCCTGCTGCCCAGGTGCTGGCCTGGTTTGAGGAAGGTGAAGAGACCATCACTGCCTTTGTTGAACCCTTTGTCATCCTGTTGATCCTAATTGCCAACGCCATCGTGGGAGTTTGGCAGGTCAGCTCGGTCCCTGCCTTACTCCACCTCGTCCCAGTGCTGAGCGTGAGACCAGCCTCCCTCTCCCTCTCCTCTGTCACTTCCCCTGCACTTGCCTGGTTCCTTAGTCCTATTGCCCAGTTTGGAAAAGGGACAGCATGTTAGAAAGTGGTGGGAGACCTTTGTTCCCACTGTCAGAAAAGCTCCTCTCGGAGCCTCAGTTTTCTCATTCATAAAATGAAGATAACCCTGTCCCACGGCGGCGTGGTAACATGAACAAGCAGGGGGCATGGAACCCGGCTCTGCACCTCGCCTGATTGGCCTTCAGTGGCTGCCGCTGTGATCCTTCTCTTACCACCCCTGACTCCTCCTGTCCCTAGCTTTCTGATTTTCCTTGACTCCCCTTTCTTCTCTCTCTCCCCAGCCTCCTTAACTGTTTCCGCTGTAATAGTTTCCCCACCCAGAGATCCCTGCCCTCAGTGGAGGTTGTCTTCCCCAGGACTGCGCTGCCTGCCTCCTCTCTGGTAGCCATTTCCCCCCTGGGACTCTAGACCCTGCTCCTCCATCTCTACTCCTTCTCCTGCCCTCCCCGACAAGTCCCTCCCCATTCCATGGCCTTCCTCCCTCTGCTGACCCTCCTCTACCTTGTCCTCCCAGGAACGTAATGCAGAGAACGCCATTGAGGCTTTGAAGGAGTATGAACCAGAGATGGGGAAGGTCTACCGCGCTGACCGCAAGTCAGTGCAGAGGATCAAGGCTCGGGACATTGTCCCTGGGGACATCGTGGAGGTGGCTGGTGAGTGATGTGAAAGGGTCCAGGTTTTGAGGCCAAGATATGTCTTTTGGGGGTGGAGGCTGGTGGGCCCTGATCTTGGTGTCCAAGAGGTAGCCAGGATGGTGGAGTCTCTGCCTTTCCTTCCCAGACTCCTCAGGAGGTCACCCCAGGGCACTCTGGCCACAGCACCCCCTCCCAGTCAGAGTCGTAGCAGGAACAGCCAGTCCTGTCCCTGAAGCTGCAGACAGACCCCTTGCTCCCCCTCTTCTCACCCAGCACTTGCAAGCAACAGGTGGAAGCCCGTCCCTGCCAATGGCCCCATCTCCACCCCCTCCCGAGGCCTGGCTTCCCTCTCCTTCCACCACCCCCAAGCTTGGTCAGCTTGAAGTCTTGACCTTTGTGTCCTTGAGGCCTCTCAAAGGGGAAAGAGCGAGGATAGAAGGGAGGAGGAGGCTGAAGGCTCAAGCCCCCAGCCATGTAAGGGAAACTCAGGCCCCAGAGGAGAGCACGGGACTTGGGAGGAGGGGAGTTCAAGGAGGGCCCCGCCTCTCTGTGAGGGACACTTAATGCCTGGGAGGGGTGGGGGTGGCGGCTGAGATGACTAGGATTCTGCCCCTTCAGCGGTTTTCTCATTTGCCCTGCACAGGCCGTGCCACAGCTCCAGACCCCGGGCGCAGGGGAATGTCTCTTTCCGGTCCTGCTTCCCTCAGCCAGGCACCCATGTCCCCACCACGGGAGGCTCAGGGAGGGGCTGGTGCAGGGGCTGAAGCCCCCTGTGGCCATCACAGTGCCGGCCTGCTACCGTGACCGTATGGAGTCAGTGCCACGAATGTCTATAAATACCGCTTCGGCTTGGGTGTCAGGGTGCACCGCCTGGCTGCGTTGCTGGCCGCCTCCCTCTTGGTCAGCTTCCTTTGGCACAGGAGGAAGAACCTTAGAAACGGGAAGGAAGGTGGCGGAACCCTGTCTCTAGTACCATCCATGGGCCAGCTAGATGTGGCCGAGGCCCGGGGTGGCTGTGCTCCACCTCCAAGATCCCTCAGTATGCTGGGCACCCACAGGCCATCCCCAGGGCAGATTCCTATCCTGCCCTGCTCCCATCTGTGCTTGTCCCAGTCTCCTCATCTTCTTACTCAGCTCTCCCAGGTGGGGTCATAGTGACACCCCTGGGCCCAAAATCTTGCTTCCTGCAGACTGCCCCTTCTCTTCTGCCTGGCCCCCCAACGCACTCACACGGCTTCCATCCAGGATAGTGGGTTTCTGATGTGCAGCTCGGCCTCTTCTCTTCCTGCCTCTTCCTCTCCCACACTCTCCTGCTTCTTGCTGCACCTTCTATCTTGTTTGACACTGATTTTCTCAATTCCCATATTTTCTCCTCACCTTCCCAGTGTTCCACTTCATTCTCTTCCCCCAACTCTGTGTCTCTCCAAGTTTCCCTGTTCTCTTGAGTTCTTTCTAGCAACATGAAGGGAGCCCAGGGCCTGACTCTGGCCTGGTGAGCTCCTGAGACTGAAAGAGGAGGCGAAGCACTCATAAAGACTGGTTGTGCTAAGGAAGAAAACTCCCTTCTCAACTGACATCACTCCTCTCTCCTCTTTCCACAGTGGGGGACAAAGTCCCTGCAGATATCCGAATCCTTTCTATCAAGTCCACCACCCTCCGGGTTGACCAGTCCATCCTGACAGGTCTGGTGCCTGGGTGGGAGGATGCATGGGGGTGGGGAGGGTGAGTGAGATGCACATTTGATGAGGGAGGAGCTGGGTAGACAGACAGGGATGACATTCCAGGTGGACACAAGAGTGAGTACCCCCAGTAGTCAGGCCCCCTCCCTGCCCTGATGCCAGCTTTGCTCAGCTCAGCTTCCCTGTCACAAGCCTGAAACATGGGGACATGGGAGAAAGCGAAAGGTTTGTGCCCATCCTTCAGATGGTCCTTAACCCCCCTTCACAAGGATGTTCAGCAAAATAGCTTGGCTGCTTTGTCTCCTCAAAAGTCGCCATGTGAGAGACTAGATTCTGACTGGTGGTTTGGATGCACTTAAAAATGTAGCTGGGAGATGGTGAAGAGCCGTGGGCCCAAGGAGGCAAGGCTGGGCTGGCCCAGGATGATTGCCTGAGCTCTGCCATTGTGTGAGGGATACAAGGTGCCCAGGGCAGGGCCTCCCCCAGCATGCACTGCTGCTCTTTCGCTCTAGGCAGCTGCTTTGACTGCCACCCGTCCTTGTTCTGAACGGTATATATTGTCCCCATTTTATGGAGGAGCGGACAGAGGTTAAGTGGCCCAAAGTCATAGTCCAGCTGGGTCTTGGGTCAAGTCTCTTTAAGTGCAGTGAATTTCCCATTTGCCTGTGGTGACTTCTTCCAGAACTCAACCAGGATGGTTACTTGTTCCTCAGGGTTCTGTCTTGCCAAGCTGGGAGGGGGTTAGAAGTGGGAAGTGATGTCATCTGAGAGCTCCTTCTCCACAGGCGAGTCTGTATCTGTTATCAAGCACACTGACCCTGTTCCTGACCCCCGAGCTGTCAACCAGGACAAGAAGAACATGCTCTTCTCGGTGAGCCTTCCAAGGCCAGCTCTTGTGTGCTCCAGCCAGAGGCCTGGTCCGGGAGACACTAGGTGGCAAGGGGCAAGAGGAACCTGCTGGTGGGTGTCACTGCCTGCCTGATTGCTGGCCTCTTTCACCCTCCCAGGGCACCAACATCGCAGCCGGCAAGGCCGTGGGCATTGTTGCCACCACTGGCGTGAGCACTGAGATTGGAAAGATCCGTGACCAGATGGCCGCCACAGAGCAAGACAAGACCCCTCTGCAGCAAAAGCTGGATGAGTTTGGGGAGCAGCTTTCCAAGGTCATCTCCCTCATCTGCGTGGCCGTCTGGCTCATCAACATTGGCCACTTCAATGATCCCGTCCATGGGGGCTCCTGGTTCCGAGGTGCCATCTACTATTTTAAGATTGCCGTGGCCCTGGCTGTTGCTGCCATCCCAGAAGGTATCTCATCTGCAAGGACCCCATTCCAAATCCCTGATGGATTTGGCAACCTCCCTCCCCCATCGTCACTCCCTTACCCTTTCCTGCCTCCCCCCAGGCCTTCCTGCTGTCATTACCACCTGCCTGGCCTTGGGCACACGCCGCATGGCCAAGAAAAATGCGATTGTGAGGAGTCTGCCCTCTGTGGAGACCCTGGGCTGCACCTCTGTCATCTGCTCTGACAAGACAGGCACCCTCACCACCAACCAGATGTCTGTCTGCAAGGTCAGAAGACGGCCTTGGGGTCAGAAGCGCCCTCCCAAGATAGGGTTGCCCCTTTATCACTGACAGCTTCTCATTTGGGCCCGGGAAATGCCCAGAGACAGAGGGAAGGCCTCCTGCCAACTGTGAAAGGGATTCCAGTGAGGGGCATGCAGCAGCCTCTGGCCATGGTCTGTGTGCCAGATACCCCCTGTGCAGTTGCCTCTAGTTCTGCACAATAGCCCTGTTTGGGGGTGGTCTCGTTAACCCCATTTTTTAGAGGAGGAAGCTGAGACCAAGGGAGACTCAGTACACAGCATACAGAAGTAGCAGATTTGAGCTTCAAACTCAAATCTCTGTCTGGCATAGCGCCTGTGCCTCCAGCTGCCCCCCAGGTTGACCCCCCAGATTGCCCCCCCTTGGTGGACCTGGGGAGCCTTGTCCTGCTGATCTATCTAGAACAGCATGTTCTAAAGCATGTGTCCTCATCTTTTCTGTACAAAATACATAGGCTTCTGTTTAAAAAAAAAAAATCATCAGGTTATAGATGAAACTAAAGATTGAAATACAGCCCCAAACCTTTTTTTTTTTTTTTTTTAAGATTTTTGGTTTTTAATTGTATGTGAGAACTGAGGCACAGGCCAGAGGTGTAGGGGGTGAGAGGATTGAGAGGATTCACCAGAGGCAGAGTAGGGAGCGGGACAGGCAGATGCACTGAAGTACACTGCTGAGGGGAGCAGTGAGTGAGACAGAGAGGTCCGTTGTACCATATGGGTCAGCTCCCTGGCTGGGGAATCAAATTTAGGCCTTCTCAGTGGTGTGGCAGCGCCTTGAGAACCTAGGCCACGCAGGAGACCCTACCCCCAAAATCTTTTAAAAACAAAGTTTGCCTTTGGCACTACCTATACTTTTTTTTATTTTTTGCAGCACACTAAATAGCAGGTTCTGGTGGTAGGCCTACAAACTCCAGTAATATTGAGGTATCAATGAGTGTAAATGGTATTTTTGAAAGACCTGCAACATTGCCGAGTGATGAGAAGATGCCTGTGATTATAGTGGTGTAGAAGTCACAAGTTTTGCTTATACTAATGTGGCCCTTGTCTGCATTCATAATTGGAAGAAAGTGCTAAATATCAGTTAAAAAGTAAATAAAGAGGTTTTTTTTGCCATCTAAGATTGCGACCTCCTGGGGAGGGGGCCTCCAGGCAGAGAACCCTTGCCCTAAGCAGAGTTCTGCAGAGCAGTGTGAAATATAAGTTGGTGTTCCGAGAAATGGGGGCTCAGTGGCCAGGTCAGCGTGAGAAAGTTGTATCCTAGTCCCTTGGGGAGACCCCACATACCTGTTGGCATTAGAAAACCTCAGAGAAGACTGGTTGTAAAGAGGGCAGTTTATGCTTTGTTTAACCCAGAGCTGCCTAAACTTACTTGACCCCAGAGCTGTTTGTCTGGGAACAGTCCCTGCCACACTGCAGGGCTGCTTCCCTCAGAGCAAGGCATCCGCTAAAGCACAGGCTTCAAGGCCAGACCAGGGCTCCTGCAGCCCTTCTTGGCCTGTTTCACAAACATGAATCCATGCCTGCATTTGAAAGTCAAGAGACTTCATAGGAAAATAACCTGAACTTCTAGCTCTTCCTGCTAAACTGGAAAGTCTGGCCACACGCAGCTGGAGCTGTCACTGGGCCCTGTGCTGAGGGACAGACTGGCTGCCGCAGGCCCCATCGTACCACACTGTTCATGCCTTGTTTTATTAACTGATCAAGGGGGCCTCTGGCGGCCCCTGCAGTGACTTTTTAAGGCCACTAACACAACGCAGAGAAGGGTGACAAGCGAGTAATGGGAGAGGAGGGGAGGCAAACGGGGAAACGGCCAGGTGAGGGGCAGGGTGGGAAGCTCCGTTCGTCTTCCAGAGCCCTGCGGGGTGGGTGCCCGCCCGCCACTGTGAGCAGGCGCTCTGGGAGCACAGACAGCTGTGGCGCCCCTCTCCCTGCAGATGTTTATCATCGACCGGGTGGACGGCGATTCCTGTGTCCTGAACGAGTTCTCTATCACTGGTTCCACTTACGCCCCAGAAGGAGAGGTGTAAGTCCCTCCTGAAGTCTTTCCCCCAGTATCTCGTGCCCCCCCAACCCCCCACCTCTTCACCATGGCCACCCTCTAGTTTTATGTGCTTTCTCCTCTTCCTTCCCCCACCTAGCTCTCTCTCCCACATCATCTCCTAGTCAGTTGCCCTCTCCCAACTGCCCCTTGCTGTTTTCTCCATCCTCTCTCTGCATCTCACCCCCTATTCTTCTCTGCCTGTCTCTTTCCCTTCTTTCCCCCCCTCCCCACCATCGCCATTCCCACCACGGCCACCAGCTTGAAGAATGATAAGCCAGTCCGGGCAGGGCAGTACGATGGGCTGGTGGAGCTGGCTACCATCTGTGCCCTCTGCAATGACTCCTCCTTGGACTTCAACGAGGTAACCCCTCCGCTCCTAAAGCAGCCCTCTGCCTTCCACCTGCTCAGCATTCTGGCCTCCACAGGCTGCGAGAAGGGGTCCTGGGAAGGGTCCCCAGTCTAAGTCCTTCCCTGCAGGCAGTGGGGAGTGGCTTGTTCTCTCCCACTTCTGGGGGGAAAGTGGGTCTGTGAGGTGGGAGCCAGGGGTGAGGAGCCCAGGTCACTTACTTCCTCTTCCTCCTCTGCCCTCTCAGGCCAAGGGTGTCTATGAGAAGGTGGGTGAGGCCACCGAAACCGCACTCACCACGCTGGTGGAGAAGATGAACGTATTCAACACTGACGTGAGAAGCCTCTCGAAGGTGGAGAGGGCCAATGCCTGCAACTCGGTGAGTCAGGATCACCCCAGGGGCCCCAGAAGGCAGAGGCCTCCTGGACACGGCCTTGTACCACAAGCTAGACCCCAACCAGCAGGGCAGCTGCCCCTCCCCCAGCTTGTTTCTTCCTAGCTGACTCTGGGTGGGAGCTACAGCGCGTTGCACTGCTCTTTTGGCCGCCTGACTGCAACCCCTGTGATGAACTTAAGTCGCTTCTTCCTGCTGAGTCCCTACCTGGAACAGTCAGAATTGGACACAGACCTCCAGTGACCCCTCAGCGGGGCAGACTCCATGCCAACTGTTACCCTTTGAGAGCAGTGACTTGTTTTGTCAGATCTCAAATCTGATTTGCAGCTTGGGAACAGCTGGCTGCGTGTTCTTCTACTCCCCTTGTGCCCACAAACTGCGCAGCTCTCCCCTCACTCTGTGATCTCGCTGTGAACGCTACTGAGCGGCCACACGCTCCTGGGGTGCAGAGCTCCCCACCCTGCTCACTTTTTTATTTTTGGTATATGCAAGATGCCCATATCGTTGCTTTTTTTTTTTTTTTTTGATACAACAAAAATGAGTATCCGGAGAATTTATTTAGAAATATTAAAGCGAATAATGTAGACCTCCACTCACTTTTAGTATTGGTATTTTATTTTGTGGAGAAGTAATCATGACCAGAGACTCATGCACTTTTGTGGAGGGCGGGGTGCCCCTGCCAGGCGCCATTCTGCCCACAGCACACGTCTCTAGAAGCACACAGGTGGCTATTTAAATTTAAGTTGATCAAAGCAGAAGAAACCCAGTCACCTAGCGCGTTGCCATGCTCGGTAGCCGTCGCGCAGGCGCACCCCGTCCCCTGGGCTCAGACTGGAGGACATCTTCGCGCTAGCGCACGCTGGGCCCTCCCATTCTGTTGTGTAGGGTGGTAGCCTTGGGGCTCACTCCCCTGCCCCTATAGGCACCCGAGTGAGCTTAGTCTCGGACTCAGCTTGGGGTCTGCCCTGCCCCCGAGATCTTTTTTTACTATGTTGTAAGGGCTCTGGGCCTTTCCCCTGTTAGCTCAGTGTCGTGGTTCTCTTCCCGGCTCATGTCCGGCCCCTCCTCCCCCGCCTGCCCCTGTGTCTCCCAGGTGATCCGCCAGCTAATGAAGAAGGAGTTCACTCTGGAGTTCTCCCGTGACAGGAAGTCCATGTCTGTCTACTGCTCTCCGGCCAAATCCTCCCGGGCTGCTGTGGGCAACAAAATGTTTGTCAAGGTCAGAAATCAGAATGTGCCCCTCTTCCTAATGCTGAACCCGTCTCTATGTTTCCCACAAGCCAGGCCATGGTCTCTGAACGTTCTGTTCTCCTAGGGTGCCCCTGAGGGCGTCATCGACCGCTGTAACTACGTGCGAGTGGGTACCACCAGGGTGCCCATGACAGGGCCAGCGAAGGAGAAGATCCTGTCTGTGATCAAGGAGTGGGGCACTGGCCGGGACACCCTGCGCTGCCTGGCCCTGGCCACCCGAGACACCCCTCCCAAGCGAGAGGAGCTGATCCTGGATGACTCTGCCAGGTTCATGGAGTACGAGGTGGGCAGACCAGCCTCCTGTGTCCCAGCGCTGTTCCTCGCCCTCCTCGGCCACCTTGTCCCGGGCCCTAGAATGACAGGACGTCAGAGAGGGAACCAGGGGCTCAGCTAGCCCGGTGCTGCTGTGTGTGGCCCCTGGGCCTTTCTGCACCTGCCCAAAGCAGAGGTCAGCTGTGACACTAAGGTCGCCGTCAGGTTTAGCCGTCTTCTTTGGGGAGGTTCTCTGGATGCGAAAAGCAGCTGGCATTCTGATTCTGGCATAAGCTCCGCACCTTGTAGCGGACAGAGTCTGCGTAGCGTCAGAGTACTCCCTTCACCTTAGCAGGGGCGACTGTAACCCTTCAGGTACACGGGCTTGTGCAAGACTGGACAGGAAGTGAGGGGACCTGCTCAAAGCAGAAACCACCCCCATAACTTCCTGCTCAAGTTCTATGAAAGACAACATCTGTCCCTGTAGTGGGCCTGCCAGTACACGTGTGAATAAGGAACTCTCCTCGACATCCAAGGTCCTACTGAGGCGGGAGTTCTAGGCGGTGGGTCAGCTCTGCCCCTGCTCACTCACCATGCTCCCCGTCTCCCCCGGGTGTTCCTGGCCCATTCCCCAGTTCCTCCCTGAAGCTGTGGCTCTCTGCTGTCTACCAGGCCGACCTGACCTTCGTTGGTGTGGTGGGCATGCTGGACCCACCCCGCAAGGAGGTCACGGGCTCCATTCAGCTGTGCCGTGATGCCGGCATCAGAGTGATCATGATCACCGGGGACAACAAGGGCACAGCCATCGCCATCTGCCGGCGAATTGGCATCTTTGGCGAGAACGAGGAGGTGACAGACCGAGCCTACACTGGCCGGGAGTTTGATGACCTGCCCCTGGCCGAGCAGCGGGACGCCTGCCGTCGCGCCTGCTGCTTTGCCCGTGTCGAGCCCTCCCATAAGTCCAAGATCGTGGAGTATCTGCAGTCCTTCGATGAGATCACAGCTATGGTGAGGCGGCAGGGCGGCCCACACGGCCGGGGGGCATCGGGAGGGGCGGTGCTCTTCTTGCCTCTGGGACCTGGGAGACCAGAGCGGGTGGGGCAAGCCTGCGCCCCGGCGAGAGGCACAGGAGGCAGCGGGTGGTTCAGACACCCCGAGACAGCTCAAGGAGGGCTGTGAAAACGGCCCCGCTCCTTCCCTCAGACAGGCGATGGTGTCAACGATGCCCCTGCCCTGAAGAAGGCCGAGATTGGCATTGCCATGGGTTCTGGCACTGCCGTGGCCAAGACTGCCTCTGAGATGGTGCTGGCCGACGACAACTTCTCCACCATCGTGGCCGCCGTGGAGGAAGGCCGCGCCATCTACAACAACATGAAGCAGTTCATCCGCTACCTCATCTCCTCCAACGTGGGCGAGGTGGTCTGGTGAGCAGTGCATGGGTGGGTGGGCATCTGGGAGGAGCTAGGGCTGGGTGGGAGGACCACGGGGCTGGGAGGCAGGACGAATGTGTGACCACCTCCTCCTGGCAGCATCTTCCTGACGGCCGCCTTGGGGCTGCCCGAGGCCCTGATCCCTGTGCAGCTGCTGTGGGTGAACTTGGTGACTGACGGGCTCCCGGCCACAGCCCTGGGTTTCAACCCACCAGACCTGGACATCATGGACCGGCCCCCCCGGAGTCCCAAGGAGCCCCTGATCAGTGGCTGGCTCTTCTTCCGCTACTTGGCAATTGGGGGTGAGCAGGATGGGGCCCCACAACCCTCCCCAACCCTCAGAACTAAGCCTCTCTTTGGGACATCAGCTCCCCTGGGGAAGCCACCCCATTGAACCCTCTTCCTCAACCACTGTTCCTATCTGTGGTCCCTTCACACCCCCCACTCCCCCACTCCCATCTTCCTTCTACCTCAGGCTATGTGGGTGCAGCCACTGTGGGGGCCGCTGCCTGGTGGTTCCTGTATGCGGAGGATGGGCCTCATGTCACCTACAGCCAGCTGGTAGGGTGGAGGGAGAAGGGGGAGGGCACCCATGGGTGGCATGGAGGCTTCCTTGGGATTCCCAGTTCTTCCCTCTCCCCCGCAGACTCACTTCATGCAGTGCAACGAGGAAAACTCCGACTTCGAGGGTCTGGACTGTGAGGTCTTCGAGGCCCCCGAGCCCATGACTATGGCTTTGTCCGTGCTGGTCACCATCGAGATGTGCAACGCCCTCAACAGGTGGGCCACCCTCCCTGCCCCTCCACCCCGTTCCCGAGGCAGCTGCTTCATCTTCCGGCCTCTCCTCACCACTACTTCTACTGTCCCCACCCTCTGCCTGGCGTCCCGCTGCAGCCTGTCTGAGAACCAGTCCCTCGTGCGGATGCCCCCCTGGGTGAACATCTGGCTGATGGGCTCCATCTGCCTTTCCATGTCCCTCCATTTCCTCATCCTCTACGTCGACCCCCTGCCGGTGAGCAGGGAGTGGGAGCAGGGTGGTGTGGTCAAGGGGAGCCTCTGCCCGCCCCTCCGCAGAGGGGTACTCCGCTCATCGCCTCTTCCTGCCCCCCAGATGATCTTCAAGCTCCGGGCCCTGGACGTAAGCCAGTGGCTCATGGTCCTGAAGATCTCCCTTCCCGTCATCGGTCTGGATGAACTCCTCAAGTTCGTTGCCAGGAACTATCTGGAGGGTAAGCGGCTCCCCTCCTCGGAGCCCCACCAACCCTGCCCTAGAAAAGCCCTGCCCCGCGCTGCGAAGGCGCCGGCCCCCCTTCCTTTTCAGGTGGGTGTGTTCTCGGTCCCCTGGGACCGGTGTCCCTCTCTTTTGTCCACCCCTCTGCACCTGGTACGGTCCTTCTCCTCGGTCCCCTACCACGCCTCAGCCCTCCTGGCCCCCAGGCCTACCTCTCTCCCCTCCGTAACGGCTGTCTTCTGTCCTCTCTGGCCGTAGGATAACCCGTTTCCCCTCTTCCGTCTCTTTGACCGTGTCACAGGTATCGCGCCCCCTCTTGCTGCTGCGCCGCCCCCCCATTCTGTCTCCCCTCTGCACCTAGGGTCACTTGCGCTCGCAACTCCACCCGCGCTCATGGCTCCGCCTGGAGCCACTGCTTCCTCCGCCACTGCCGCGCTTCCAGGCGGGGGCCACTGCCCCCCCTGGCTCGGCACTGCCCGCCATAGGCACCCCAGTGTCTGCTGGGCTGCGCTGCGCTGCGCTGGCTGCGCTGAGCTGTCTGCCGCTGGGGCTGCAGGGGTTGGGAGGAGTGGGAGCTGGGGGCCCAGGTGAGTGCGCGGCCGGCCCAGGGGCCCTCCAGGTGAGTATGGCAGGGGACAGGACAGGAAACCTGGGAGGGACACTTCCTGTCTCCTCCTGTGTCCCGCCACCTGCCACCTACTTCACCTTCCAGATCCCTTCACGCTTCCCTTCTCCTTCCAGATCCCGAAGATGAAAGAAGGAAGTAACCAGCCCTTCGCCCCTCCCCCGCCCCCATAGTGATGCATCTTCAGCCAGAGCTGTGGCACAACCCCATGTTCCCTTGACTCCCCCCAATTTTTCTGTTTATAGACACAATGTCCCCTTCCCTTCTTCCCCTCTTCCTTTCCTTTTGCCCTTGTAAACTACCCCCACCCCCAACCCCATGGGGCTTGCAGGGACAAGGCGACCGATTGAGCTGAGCTGCTTATTTATTGAAAATAAATGACAGAAAAGTCTGGCCTGGCCTCCGTGTGCATCTTCGGCCTGCATCCTGGGGTACAAGCATCTTAGTGTCATGCAGTCCAGAAAGCAGCTGCCTGTCTTGGGGCGCATGTGGAGGGACCCGGCTGACCTGGGACTGGAGGCCCAGCCACCACTCACAGCTCTGTGCCTGGGGGAGGGGACTGGCCGTAACTGGCAGGCCTGTGAGCCTGGCTGGGGGCGGGGAGCGGGACAGCCGGAAAGCCGCAGGGCTGGGCCTGTGCCTTTGGTTCCTGGGGGAACCCTCACCCAGGCGTCACCCCTGAAAGCAAAAGGCCCAACCACCCTGGGAAGAGGCACTGGAGGGACAGGGCAGTAGGAGCCCCGCCATCTAACCCCAGGTTTGTAGAGGGTGAAGACTAGCCTGAGACCCCCTGGAGCCCAGGATGCATGGTTCTGCAGCAGAGAAAGCCCGTCTCCCTGGGGCAGGTGGGTTCTCCAGTGTACCCCCTCAGGTGTCCTTGATGTCTCTGATGTCCCTGAGGGGGGCCTCGTCCATGATTCTCTGCACCTGCTCCAGATTCTCCGCCTGACGAATCCGTTCCAGGCGCACCTGTGAGGCCCAGCAAGGGAAGCAGGGGCCCTTGGTGAGGAGACGCAACCCCTACCCCACTGCCAGTCCCCAGAAGGGCAAGGGCCTGAGACCGGTGTACCCAGGGGCACCACCCACCCTTGGTGAAATCAGGACCCACTTCTGCCCTGGAACCCAAGAGAGGAGGCTGAGGAAGTGTGGGCAGAGGCTTCAGCTAATGGCAAACACGCACACGCAAGATAAACATTGGGAAGCAAGAGCTCAGGAAGACAGTCCACGCCGGCCTCAGGAGGAAGAGGACGCCCTTTATCAGGTTTCTAAAACCCAGGACAAGTCACCTGGAGTCAGGTCAGCCAGGTAAGGAAGGGACAGGCCGTACCTGCAGGGCCTGGGACAGTCGGACAAAATCCCTCTGCACCTGTTCGCTGGTCTCCAGCTCAGCCTGCAGCCGCAGCACCTTGGCCCTCTGTTCTGAGAGGAGGTCCGTGAGCTGGGCCTGGCGGGGCAAGACACTGCGCTGGGGCCGCGGCTCAGCCAGACGAGGGTGTGTGACCAAGAAAGGGGACTTGTGGATGGGGGAGCCCTGTCTACACCACCCCACTCTGACATGAGTGTAGGCTTCTGCCGCCTGGTCTGGAGACACAAAGGGCAAGAGGGGCCAGTGAGGGCCCTCTCCACACGGCCGCCCCGAGCCAGCCACCCCAGCCAGGACCCAGTGCTGCCTCACCTTGCCCTGCTCCTGCTGGACACGCTCCATCTCTGTCCTCAGGCTGCACAGGGAGGCTGGGAAGTCAGGCAGGGGCCAGACATCAGGCCCACGCCTCGCGGCTTCCCCACCCCGCCTGCCGCGGGCTGCAGCCCATACTCACCCTCCAGCACCTCTGTGGAGAGGAAAGAAAGTGGTCAAAGCCACTCAGACTAGCTGGCATGGCTTCTCTCCCCAGTCCTGCCGCCCCCCTGGGGCGTCTCCCACCTCACCTGTCTCCTCCCGCTGCACCCTGAGCTGGCCCCCCAGGCTGGCCCTGGCTGCCGTCTCCTCCTCCAGCGCCTCCCTGAGCGTCACGATCTCGATCCGCAGGCGCTCAGCCTCGTGCTCCTGGGCCTGCCGATGGGCCCACGCCTCCTGCCGCGTGCGGCGCACCAGCTGCTGCAGCTCCTGGAAGCGATGAGGGCCAGCTGAGGGGGCAGCAGGGCCCAGGCCACAGAGGGGCCCCCCGGGGGGGCGGGGGGCGGGAGGGAGGAAGAGAAGTGTTCCAAGGACAGTGGCTGGGCCCACCGGGAGTGGATAAGCCACAACAGCAACACGGAGGTGCCACTGCCACACCCGCTGCGGAGGGGGGAAGGGGGGGGGGGGGGGGACGTCTCGGAATCGTGCGGAGGGAAAGGGCCAGGAAGTTAACTTTTGATAAAGCTCAAAATGAACGAAAGCGAGCACTCCACTGTGGGGGCAGACATCGTAAGAGTGTGCAAAAGGGCAAGGGGTGATAACGCCGAGGAGGGCAGACACAGCCAAGGAATCTGGGGTGTACACACTGCATTATGGTCCCATTTTTCGGGGGAGGATACAGGTGAACACACTGCCCTGGCCTGCCCCTGGGTCCCCGAGTCCCAGGCAGCGCTCAGCTCTGCCGGGAGGGGAAGGCTGACGGTGGTCCCGGGCTGTCAGCCGGCTCAGCCCTTACCGGCACCGAGCTGGGCAGTGACTCCTCTGGGCCCTCTGCCTGCTCCAGGCCCTGCGGGGCAGCGGATGGCGGCTGCTCGGCCCGGAGCCCTTGGTTTTCTTCAGTCAGCCGCTTCACCTCGTGGCTCAGGCACTTGTGGGAAGTGGCCAGCTCTGCCTGGGGACGGACAGTGTGAGGAGATGAAGGGAGCCGTGTCCCCCGCGTCCTGTAAGGTCAGGCCCTGGACTCTTGCACGTTGCTGCTGGCCAGAAAGCCCACAACAGCCTTCCTTGCTGAGCAGGCAGGAACACCTTCGTTGTCTTCTGCTCCCAAGTTTGTTAAACACCTCGGTTCGAGGTCACACAGTGGCAGCCACAGGCCACATCAGGTGTTTTATTGGGGTTGTGTGGCTTTTTCTTTAAGTTGCCAACTTTAAAGAAATGGGGGGGAGGGCCCTCCCTGGTGGCGCAATGGGTTAAAAGCACAGCACTACGAAGCTGGCCGCAGCCACTACAGGAGGAGTTTGATCCCATGAGTTCAATCCAGGGCCAGGGAGCTGACCCCATGGCGCCGCAGACCTCTCCTGACCCGCCCGCTGCTCCCCTCAGCAGTGTGCTTTGTCGATCTGCCTGTTCTGCTCCCCACTCTGTCTCTGGTGATCCTCTTACCCCCCACAACCACCTCTGGCCTGCACCCCAGTTCTGTATGCATAAATAAATCTTCTTAAAACTGAGGGGACCACACACAAAACATCCAGGTCTCTGGCTTCTCTCAACAAATCTGACAAACTGGCAGCAGGGAGCCGAGTCCCCCCATGGCGGCAGGTGGCGGGGACCAACCCCTGCAGTGCATCAGAGCCTGCTGCCCATCTCCCACCTGGCCCAACTCATCTCTTACACCTCCCGTCTGGCCTTGGGAAGTATCTGATCCTGCCGTCCTTGCTTTGACTCTTCGCAACTGTCAGCTAGGTTAGATGACCTCAGTTTCGAGGCTGGGAGGCTGAGGCTCTGAGCTGGAGGGATCGTGACCGCACAGGGAGGGCATGGCGGGCTCTGCTGACCACAGACGCCCTGCTCTTGCTCAGCACCTTTGACCCATGTGACCCCCAACTCCAGCGTGCAGCCCCCACGGCTGGGCTGCAGGTGAGGTGCCTTAACTTTCCTAGCAGGTGTCCCCCTCAGCCAATCCCCATCACACTGCCCCCTTCTGCCCTGGCCCCCCAGTCTCACCATCTGCAGCTGAACCCGCTCCTGGGCCTGGCTCACGGTGCCCTGCAGGGTCCGCAGCAGCTGCTCTGAGTTCTGGACCTGGGCCAGGAGCACCTGCATCTGTGGGAGGAAGGGGTGAGGGTAAGGTGGGGCCCAGGAGGGGGCAGGGGCCAGAGCCTGCCTGAGGGCACTGGAGCGGAGGCGGGACCCACCTGCTTGGCACAGTCCTCGTTGCTCCGTCTCAGGCCTTCCTGCAGCTCATCTCGCTCCCGACTCAGGCTCTCCAGATCCTTCTGCAGCTGCCGCCCCTGCCACAGACCCTGGCCTCACTTTCCACCTTTGCTGCCTTCCCCCTGCAGCTTGGCAGGCAGGCGGGGGCGCAGCAGTTCACACCAAAGCCTAGGAACTGATACTGACGCTACTGGCTACTGACGCTCCTCTTGCCTCCACTCCCTGCGAGTAGCCCAGCAGGCTCGACCTCCAAGAGGATGCCAAACCGTCTCTGCCGCCATCTTCTGGCCCTGCCACTACCTTCTAAACTGTGTCAAGCCGCCTCTAATCAGCCGCGGCTTCGGGCGGCTTCGGCTGCCCTCGTCTCTCTGCGTCCATCCCCATCCCCACCCCACCCCCGAAGTCCGAGCCTACAGCAGGGCAGGCCTCTCCCGCTATTCACATGGGCTCCCTACTGCTCCCTGCCGCAAACCCAGCACCATGCAGGACCTGCCTGCCTGTCTGAGCTCATCTTCCGGCTCTGCCCCGCCCCGGCCTTTCTGGTCCTCGGATGCCCCGGGGCATCATGTGGGCCTTTGAGCTTGCAGTTGCTTCTGTCCCCACTCTCTGAAAAGCACTCCACTTCCCCTCTGCAGGTCTTGCTCTCCTGCACTGCCGGCCTCCCCATGGACTGGCTTGGGTCTGGTTCCCTCCCTAGGAGGCAGCGCCAGAGAGGTGGAGGCATTTCTTCCTTCACTATGGGTAGGGAAGTGAACTGGTCAGGCCTTTTGCGCCACTGACCTCTGTGGCTATCACCTGAGGCCTCAACTGTATTAACACACAAAGGACTTGGGAGGTGGGCCTGCTCGCCTGATGGTGGACACCTGGGTGTGGTGGGGCTGCGATGGGCCGAGAGGCAGGGCGAGCCAGGCCAGAGGGCGGCTACCAGACAGGAGCAGTGCAACTGAAGGTGAGGTGAGACGTGAGAGAAGGTCAGAGAGCAGAGAGTAGATGGCGGGGGGCTGGGAGGCCTAACTGCCTGGCCCCCAACCCCAGCCCCACGCCTGCCTCCTTGCTGGTGTACCTGGTGCCCTGAGCGCATTAAAGCCTGGACAAATCCACCGAGGGCTGCAGGACTCTCCTGACCCAACTGCCTGAGTCCAGAGGGAACCTGCCTGCGCTTGCTGAAAGGACCGCGGACCCCCAGCTCCAGTTCAGGGCCCAGACACGGAGCCACTCGGCAGCGCTTGCCCAGGGAGACATGGCACAGGCCGTCTCCCCACTCCACTCACCTCCACTTGCAGCTGCTCCCACTGGCTGTCGGGGACAAGCTGGTAACCAGGCGGGGGCAGGTAGATGCCCTCGGGGACCAAGGTGCCGGTGGACACCAGAGAGGCTGTCTCTTCCTGCTCGGGGCTCAGGCCCTGGCGGTGACGGGGCAGGGAGGCGCTGCTGCCGGCCCCACCGCCAAGGGAGAAGGAGGAGATGGAGGCGCTGTCGTCACAGTTGTGGGCGAAGGCCTCTGCGGCCGCACCCCCATCTCCACTCAGCTCCTCGAGAGGCTCCAGCGGGGGAGATGGGTCCCGGGACAGGGGCAGCAGCTCCGTGGAGCCATGCAAGGAAGGAGGCTGCCGGGGCCGTCTCTAGGAAAAGGGGGCAGGGAAGAGGCTGGGGGTCTTATGGCGCCCCTCTCCCCTCAGCGCCCCTGGCTGCCTCCTCACCTGGATCTCTTGAATCAGCTCCTCTGCCCTCAGCAGTTTCGCCTTCAGCTCCTCAATCTCCTGCTCCATGGGCAGCACGATCTCCCGGAGCTTCTCCGAGTCCTCGTGGGCCTGGAGGAAGGAGCAGTTTGGGCAGCGACTGTCCCCACTCCCGACCGGGGAGCCCCTTGGGTCTGTTCGTCGCTTTCTGCCCAGGCACATTGGCTCCCTACTCCTCCCACGGAGGTGCTGCCTACCCCACCTCAGCAGGACACGGAGACCCCCTGAGGTCACGTGACGGGAGGCACCTGCATCTTCTGTAGTCTGCTCACTCACCATACTTATCTCCCTCCAAATCCATTTCTTTTTTTCTCTTCTAGAACCTCACATTTCTAGCTGGCACACAGCCTAAACTCCAGGACACCACCTTCATTTCTCAGCTCCCCTACAGCTAGGCAGGTTCTACGACTAAGCTTAGCTAATGAGACGTAAGCAGATGTGCCAGGTGCAGCTTCCCTGAAGGCGGAGGGTGTACTTTGCTCTTGCTGCTAGAACTCAATGGCAGGCACTCAAGCAATCATCTTGAACCGCGAGGCAATAGGCTACCTGTGGCAAAACAACTTAGGAGGAGCCCACGTTCCTGAGAGTTCGCTGGGCTGACACATCAGTCCTGACTGTCTCTCAGATGGGATCCTGTTGAGCTCACATGGTCAACAGCTTCTGGACATCTCCACTGGGATGTCACATGGGCTCCTCACACCTAATAGTCAAATCTGCAATGGCTCATGATGCCATTTGTCTTTCCACAGGCGCTAGGTCAGTAAGAGTCCCTGCTACCAGCCAGCTGTCCGAGGCAGAGATCTGCCAGCCACCCACTCACTTTCAGTTCGTTTCTACCTCTTGAAGCCTTTAAAAACCAGCCTCAAAACAGTCCTATTTAGTCCTCCAAGTCTTACATCAACAGCTGCAAAAACAGGTGCAAGGACCAGCACCTTTCTGGGCCAGTGTGTCTCAAACAAGACACCGCTGCTCCCTCTGGAGCCCCGGAACATGTTCCGTAGCTGCCCGTGCAGTGGGTGGAGCTGGCCGAGAGCAGCGACAGGCCAGGCCAGGAACCACCTGACTCTCCTTTAATTCCCACCTTTGGGGCTCCTCCGAGGTCTTGCAGGCAGTGGGGGCCTCTGCTGAGAGCTGCGGGCGGGAAGCTTTCTTTCCTTGGGCTCCGTGCTGGTCTCTAGCTTTCTGATCATGAGATTTACTCCAAGCCCCAGAGCCCCAGGTTCCTCCTGCATAAAATCAAGTACCCAGCTCCCAGGGCTGCTGTGAGGACTGAATGAGGTGACCACGTGAACTTGCTTTGAATAATGCAGCGTTGGGTAATCTGTGCTTACTATTATTGCTAATAACAGCGATCACAACGGCGATAGGCCAGTGGAGCTGAGGACAAAACTGTAGAGCCAGACTACTTAGATTTTAAAATCTTAACTCTATTCCACCTCATGTGCGTAACCCAGGGAGAATTACTGAACATTTCTTAGCCTCATCGGACTCATCTGGGCAATGGATCTAATGGATCTCTCGACCCGGGAATGAGTGGGGAAACAGTCTTCCAAGCAGTTAGCACAGCGCCTCATGCAGGAGGGCTATCCTTAAGTGTCGGTTCCCTCCCCCTACAGTACAGGCCTCCCCTTCATTCTGGAGGTACACAAAATCCTAGACCTTGCCCAGTTGGAGCCAAGCATTCAACAGGTTGGGGTAATTCTGGGGGCCCTGCTCCCCCTGACCTGGGAACGGCACACCAAGCCCCTCTGTGACCACCTCTGGCTACCTCAACATCTTTCCAAATGTAGGGGGAGAGGCAAGCCATCCCACCCCAACCTTTTCCATCTGCTTCTCCAAGGAATCCAGGGGGTGAGCCCGGGATAGCAGCTGCTTCAGGCGACCCAGCTCCCGCTCCTTCTCCTCACAGTCCTGCTGCTGCTGCTGCCGCTCCTGCTTCAGAGAGGTGATCTGGGCTTCGTAGCTGCTGATGGAGTCTGGTGGGGCAGGAGGGGTGGAGGAGAGGGAGGGTGAGTGCGCTGGCCTGTGTGTGAGCAGGGGGCTCCCATCGTTGGTGCTCGCTGCCCAGTGGTTTACCACCGTGGCTAAGACAACGGGCTTTGCAGTGAGAGAACCCTGGGCAGTCAAGCAGCCTCTTGCATCAGTGTCCTTGGCTGCAAGGCGGGGACACTAATGACAACCCATTGGGTTGTTAGAGGATAAAATGACCTGACATCTAGAAAGGGGTTCAGCCTTCTCCCTGGTACATCATCAATATGATGTACCATCAGTAATCACTAATAATAGATACTACTGTGGACCAGACTGCCCTCTGGGCTCTGGATACAGAGAAGTTGGCCAGACAGAAACCCTGACAGCAGAAGCCCATCATGCATGGGGCAGGCAGCCGTGGAAGTGGTGGGGAAGCAGAGCAAGAAGTTGAGAGAGGCCACTGTGCCCGGGCTTGCAGATCCAGAGGAAAGAGTCCCTAACTCTGCCGGCCTGGCCAGGAGCGGCCTCCAGCAGGTGCAAAAGGAGGAAAAGGACACTAACAGGACCAGCAGGAGCAAAGGCTCAGAGGTGGGAAAGTGGATGGTGAGTCTGGGACACGGTGGTGAGATGCTGGAACAGGAGATGGCAGTGAATGGTCCCCAGAGCCTTGAATGCCAAGCCATGGAGTGTGGAATTTATTCTATTGTTAGTGAGAGATGGAGGTGACACTGGGTGGAGCATCACCATTTTTTACTTGCACAGTTATTTATTGTAACATGTATTTGTATGAGATATAAAGATTCTGATGCCAGACCAGCGATGTTAAAATTTTTGCTGCTTTCTAGCTGCGTGACCTTGGGCAAGTTAGCTAACTTCTGAGTCAGGGCCTCAGAGCTTCCTCTGTAAAATGGAGGACAATAGTTCCTACCTTACAGAGTTTGTTATGAAGATTAAAAATTCATAAAGCATTTAGCTCAGTGCCTGGCATATTATAAAGAACTCGATAAATGTGAGCTATTTAGGACACAGTCTCTTAGAGACATATCATATCCTTTAAAATAACTCTGAGTTTGTTATTTTAGAGGTTACATACAGAACTTAATTTCTTTTTTTTTAAAGATTTATTTATTTATGCATAAGAACTGGGGAACAGGCCAGAGGTGCAGGAGAGGTGAGAGGCTTCACCAGAGACAGAGTGAGGAGCAGAATAGATAGATAAACGAAGTACAGTGCTGAGGGGAGCAGTGAGCGAGACAGGAGAGGTCTGCTGCGCCATGTGGGTCACCTCCAGGGCAGGGGATTGAACTTGCAATGAAACGGCTGCGGCTAGCTTGCAGTGCTGTCCTAACCCATCACACCGCCAGGGAGGGCCCTAATTTTTTTAATTAGATGTATTTTTAGTTGGGGTATCCCCATCAGGTATTAACACCATAGTGTACCCACCCCCAACTCACCCATACTATACCACTATGTGAGTTTTTTTTTAAATAGATCTGTTTAACACCCACCCCCCAATAAAAACGATCTACTTAAAGAACAAACATGCAGACAACTAGGTAACCTGCAGGAGGAGACAGGTGGAATGGGGATCCTGAAATGTGGAAAAGCATGGCTATTATAAAGATAAATGACATGGTGGAATGAGATTTTAGGAAGTTTACTCTGGAAGCCAAGACCAGACCAGACTTGAGAGGGAGACCTGTGAGAAGGAAACAGTCTGCGGAAGCTGAGGACCCCACCATAGCATGCAGCGGCAGAAGGGTGAGAAGATCTGGATGCTCTTTCAGAGACTGCTCTGCCAAAGCAAAAGTCACAAAGAAGAAAAGAATCTGGGGAATCCAAGGCAGCACAAGCTGATGCACCCCAAATACAACGAATAGGAGCTGGAGAGAGGGAAGTGCATGTGCTTGTGTGCCCACGCGTGTGTGCTTGTGCGGTGTGTGTGTGTGAGAACTGGCTGGGGAAGGAAGGAAACCGAGAGGTTCAAGTGGTGCTGGTTCAGGAAACTGAGAAATTGCTCAGCTTCAGGGTTGACCAGTCATCAGTGAGCGACAAGAAATGACACTGAGCAAGGGAACAAGGAAAAGTTGGGAACAAAACTTTGTTGGATGAGACAGAGTGGGGCTAGCACAGGCGGCACCTCCATGCCAGTACCACAAGGATGTCACTTGCCCTGTGTTAGGCAGCCCTGCCAACCTGCCTCATAGCTTATCCACGCCTCCTGCCCACTTTCCTGCCATGCACCCTCCCTTAGTGGGTTGATGGGGAGTCCTGAGGCCCCATCTCACCTTTCAGAATGGCTTGCAGTGAGGCCACCTCCTCCTGGCATTGCCGCTGTACTGCAGCCACAGCCTCCGCCTTAGTGCTCTCGCTCACCTCTGCCACGGCCTTCATGGTCTCCATTTCGGCCAAGGCACCTGCCAGCTCAGCCCGCAGCCGGCCGAGCTCCCCTGACTCAGCCTCCACCTTTGTCCCCTCTTGAGGCTGAGGGTCCAGTGCTGTGGGGGACAGGAATCAGCTTCTCTTCCCATCACACTCGGATACCCAATACCACAGGTCATCCAATCTGCAAGACCTGCAATCTAGTACAGCAGCACCCCCCAACCTTCACCTAGCCCCGCCCCTCACCTGGTCACGCCCCTTACCCCGCCCCCTCCTCACCTAGCTCAAGTTCACGTTGCCGATAGCCCCGCCCCTTCTCGATCCTCGGTTCACCCAATCCCTTCTGTCTGACAGGACCCTCCCTTCCAAAAGCCCCGCCCCCTGTGCACCTGGTCACGCCCCTTCCTTCACTGGACCCCGCCTCTCACCTATCACTGGCCCTACCCTAGTGATCTTCGGGCCACGCCCCCTCCGTCGGTGGCCCCCTCCAGGCCCCGCCCCCTCCGTCTCGGCGGCGTGGTCCCGCCCCTTTCCTGAGTCTCCCCTCACCATCCCCCATCCGCCGGCTGCCGAACGCAGCTCCACCTCCAGCTTCGTCGCCCCTCGCGTGCATGGGCGCGCCCTCACGTACTTGCCCCAAGGCGCCGTTGCCGGCCATCCTCGCCCGCGGCCGCCGGCGTAGCAGCCGCCATTGCCTCCGCGCAAACGGCGGATTCCCGCACTCCCTGGTGACGGCGCTCACCGCTTCCGGGTCCTCTCGGCTGTTTCCGGATCCGCTCGGCTGTTTCCGGATCGGCCCTGGGCTCGAGGCCGTGGCCGGAGATGGGGGTACTGCCGAGCCTCGGCCGAAGATTCCCGAGTGGACCGCCGGCCGCGGCCTCAGGCCCCGCCCCTCTCCGCCTTTACTGGGCGGCACTGTTGGAGAAGGACGCCGGTTCTTCAAAACTCCTTAGAAGTTCTTTCATCAAGGGCCTCCCGACGTCTTCGCGTGACCTCTGCTCAAATTGCACCTCCTGCCGGCCCCAGCCGACGGTGGGCGACGCTCTCCCAGTCTCCCCCCAGCCCCAGAGCCAGCTCCTAGATCGACCCCTGGTCGCCCTTCGCGGGAGCCAGGCTCTCATTACAGTGAATTGTGGCCAGATTCTCCTGCACCTCCGCCTTCCGTGGAGCGGCCTCTGGGCAGGGCTGGGTCGGAATCAGTCCTTTTGGGGCGTCAGACTTCCCAGCGTTGGCAGTCATAGAAATCAGAAACTTCCACGTTGCCACCCCTACTTAGCTATTCAACCTGTTACCGCTTCCCTTTCCAGTGCCTCTCAAATCCCCCTTCACCTCCCTAGGCCACTGCCCTAGCCAAACAATTATCAGTGGCCTCTCCCTCCAACACTGCCCTTGGAAGACAAGCACCTCAAAGTCCAGATCCTCAGTTCCCCTTTCCCAAGCCCTTTTCACCCTTTGTAATGTAACTCACTCCAGGAACTTGGAAGTCCTTATTCTTAGTGTCTTCCTGCAAGTTCTACATACAACGAACTGAATATTACAGGTTGTCGTTTTCTTCTCCAGCACTAACACCCAGCTCTAGTACTCTGCTGAACATCCACAATGCGTCCTACTTGCAGCCTTTTGGCTCTCTTAGTTGCTTCTCAGAACAGCTAATAATCTGTAAAGCAGCCGTATGTTCAAATCTTCTAGTTTCAATCCAATTTGAAAATAGACAAAGGAGATGAATACGATTTCACTGATGTCACAGATGATCTCCAAAAGATATTTCACATCATTAGCAATTACAGACTTGCATATTAAAACCACGGGGAGGAGATATCATCACACATCTCCAGGATGTCTAACATTAAAAAGAAATAGGCACGTTAACACCTAATGTTGTTATATGGAGAAACTGGGTTTCTCAAATAGCCCTACTGGTAAGAGTATGATAGTTTCTAACAAAAGTAAGCATGACCTTACTTCACACCAAGTCTCCGCTCAAATGTCACCTCTTTCCCCAGGCCTTCCTTGACCACCCTGTGTAAAGTAGCCACCTCTATCATCTGTCCACCATCAGAGACTGCTCACCCCTTTGTTTATTATTTAAGTTGTTTAATACCAGTCTCCCTTTACTCTTCCGTGGCCTCAAAACTTGAATCGAAGCTCCAGGAAGGAATCTTATCTTTTTCTATCTTCCCAGCTAGCACAGTGCCTGGTAAATAAATAAAAAACATAATAGTAAATATGAGCATTTTCCTTACTTCCTTTCTCCAACTTCCCCCTCCACCACAAAAGGGGAAGGAAGTTTTAGAAAAGACAAATCTGGTCTGGTCAATTCCTGGCTTTAAAGCCCCAAAAGTTCCCTGCTCTCAGAACTAAATCCAGATTGCTTGTTATCTTCAACAGGATTTCTCAAGAAGGGGGGCTGATCAACTCTCAGGCTTGGATTTTATCCAGCCAGCCCTAGGGGCCACTGAGGGCTGTTGAACAGCGAAGCACATGACAAATGTCAAGGAAGTTGTTGTGTGGAGTGTGGGATGGAACTGAAAGAGACAGTCTGCCCGAAATGGTTCCATTTGGAAGAAAAGAGTCCACAAAGAGGAGAGTTGATTCTAGAAATATTTAGGATAGAAAATGGACTAGCGTTAGTGACTGAGTATGTCATAAGAAAAGCTTTCTTTCCCTCCTTCTAGCTTCCTTTCTTTTTATAACAAACACACCTGCTACCTTCAAGCAACAATCAAGATCCCTGTTGGTGTGGATTAAGGGGCCAATGAGAAGACTAAGAAATAAACAAACCTGCTGTGAGATTGGGGCTTATGTGGGAAGGACAGGAAACAGGTGTGAGGTCAAAAGTACCTGGGAACTGAGGGAAACCTCTGAGGAAGCCACATTTTTTTTTAAGTTTTATTTATTTATTTATACATACAGAACCAGGGTACAGGCCAGAAGTGCGGGGTGGGGGCGGGGGTTGAAGATTCACCAGAGACATAGAGTGGGGAACAGAACAGGCAGATGTACTGAAATACACTGCTGAGGGGAGCAGCCGGCGGGTCAGGAGAGGTCTGCTGTGCCTTGTGGTCAGCTCCGTGGCCAGGGATAGAACTCCTGCTGCAGTGGCTGTGGATATCTTCATAGTACTACAACTTAACCTGTTGTCACATTTGAGATGAGACCTGAGCAATGGAAAGGAGCCAAAAGTCTAGTGGAGAGACTAGCATGGGTAAGGGAGAGCAGCATGGGTAAGGCCCCACCCCCAGCGAGGGGGCAGTGGGGGGCGGAGATGGCCACCATCACAGGCCCTCCTACCCTGGCGTGGCTTGGTGTGCAGTGTTTATTTTAGGTTGAAGAAATGTTCTACTCAGGAGATGGGCCTGCTCTATCTAGCACATGAAGCAGCTGGGAAGCTAATGAAGGGGGATTAGAGAGATCTGGTTGAATGAAAAGCAAATGGGGATCCTGCCACCTCATTCTCTCCATTCCCCAGTGCCCCACTCTTCCCCCTCCCAACCACCCCAGCCAGACCAAAAGGAAGTGGAGGCCTAGGCAGCTGAAGGGTCCCCTGGGGTTTGCCTGAGGCAAACAGGAAGCACAGGCAAGTGAGAAAGGGCCTGGGAACCAGCCACCGAGAAAGCAGGTCTCCTGGGTCCCCGGACCCATATGTACCCATACGTGTGGAGGAGGCACAGAGGTCCCGAAGAACAGATTTTAAAATCTACGCTCACTCAATAAGTGATCTTAGGCAACACCCTGTCCTTTCGGACCTCAATTTAAAGTGGGCACCTTCCATAAGTGAAGCAGGCTTCTGTGGGAAGAACTGGGAGAGAGAGAGGCGTGAAGTCTTCAGTCATTTCTCAAGAGCACTGCGTCTGACTGGGGCCTTGGCTGGTTCTCGCTGCTGTCCCATGAACTGCCAGCCGACCACAGTTGGGTGCTGGGCCAAAGCTCCCTATCCATGGCTCTGTTTAATCGGCACACACACTGTTACCATCATCGTACTGTTAGTACCCCCAGTTTACAAGGAAAGAAACCAACACTTGGAAATTTAGGCCAGGGGTGGAGGAGGAGGGCTCAGATCCAGGTCTGTGAGGCCCCAGAGTAGGGAAAAGGGGGTCCGAGAGATATTGCCAGTGAACCAAGGGGCTGTGTGCCAAGGGAAATGGGTGGAGAGCCCGAGGTGAGGGAGGAGAGAACGCCCGGCAAAGTGGATTCACTCTTTCAACAAACTGGGTGCCGACAATGTGCCCGGCACTGTTCTGGGGTGCCGTGCCTGCAGCGGTGAACACGGCGGTCTCCGCCGCAGGAGGGAACAGAAAGTGAGCAGGCAGATACACCAATAAAGTAGTTTCGCAGGGTGGTAAGTGCTGGGATGAAAATAAAACAGCATAGCAGGGAGGAGGTGAGTTCTGTGTGTCTGAAGAGGTGCGTGGAGAAGGAGGCCTGAGGCGTGACCACCCCTTCCTTCCCGAGGGGACTGCCCATCCTCCCGCCCCCACACTCATGGTTCAGTGCCCCACCTGCCCCAGCATCCCTTGCGCGTGAGTCTGTGTGCCTTGGAGGGTCTGGCCACCATGCCCACTCCTCTCCTGCTCTTCTCCCTCCTCTTCCTTGCCTCTGTGGGAATCAGGCCTCTGGAAGCACGGCTGGTGAAGGTTACAGGTATGTGGGCAGGGCACAGACAGAAGAGATTAGGGCTGGCAACCTGGGTCTGGCTGGGTGCCCTTGGCCAACTTACCTTCTCTGAGCCTTCATTGTCTTGCTTGTAAAATTCAGTGGGAGTTGAAAGGACTCTGTGGACTCGTCCACTCCCAGCTGGTGGGGTACTGGGGTTTAGAATCCAGTGTGAGGAGTGAAGGGGCTAGGGGCTCCTCTCGCTCCCCCATCTCTCCACAGAGGGAGATAATGCTTTGTTGCAGTGCCTCAAAGATCCCCCAGACGATGGCCCCAAGCAGCTGAACTGGTCTCGGATGCCCCAGGAAGAATCCTTGTTGGCATTGAAACAAGGGTTACCAGGCCTGGGCATCGAGAAGGGGCCCCAGAATGTCTGGCTGTTCGTTCTCAACATCTCTGAGCAGATGGGGGGCTTCTACCTGTGCGAGCTGGGGCATCCTTCCAAGCAGCCGGCGCAGTCTGGCTGGGCAGTCAGCGTGGAGGGCAGCGGTGAGGTGCACACTGGGGCAGGGAGGGCGGCTGGGAAGAGGGAGGCACACTGTGGGTGGAGGACGACCACTGGGTAAAAGGGAGCCGGAGAGGGGGCTGGAATGGCTGGGGAGCAAGTTTAGGTGGGTTCCTAAAAATTCCTGTGGCTTCATCTTCTACCCCATTTCTGCCTCACCACACCCTACCCAGCTGTTTCTCTCCCTCCTTCCTGACTCTCTCCCTCTTTGTCTCTACCTTTTTGGGTCTTGGGGTCTTTCTTCCTCTCCTGGATATCTCTGGATCTGGAACTACAATTCTTCCCAGGGGAGCTGTTCTCATGGGACACTGTAGATCTACACTGTGACTTGGGAAACAGGTCCTCAGAGGGCCCCAGGACCATGAGCTCCAAGCTGTATGTGTGGAAACGAGACCACCTTGAGACCTGGGATCCTGCATGTGCTCCCAAAAGGGGCAGGGGAAACCAGACCCTCACCACCCAAGGTAAGGTGCTGGGGAAGTGCCAGCGTAGGAGGCCAGGGCCAGGGGGTGGCATTTGGGAACTGGCAGATGTGGGGGGGGATGAGACCCCAAGTATTATGCCTTCCTAGCCTTGGCTCTCCCTGTCCCAGACCTCACCGTGGCCCCTGGCTCCACGCTCTGGCTGCCCTGTAAGATGCCCCCTGCCCCTGGAGCCAGAAACCCCATCTTCTGGACCCATGTGCGCCCTGAGAAGCCTAACAGCACATTGCTGCACCTAGAACTGTGGGAGGATCACCCAGGCACGGAGAAGTGGGTCCTGAGCATCCTCAAGGGAGGGGCGACTCTGTTATTGCCCCAGGTTACTGCTCAAAGTACAGGCATCTATCACTGTCACCTTGGCAACAGGACCATCGAGATGAAGCTGGAGGTCACCGCCCAGTCAGGTAGGGTGTCTCCCAATTATGAGGTATCTGTGTGGGGCTTCCTGTCAAACTTGGCACCCTCCAACCTGAGAGCTAGTAACAACCTCATCCTGCACCCCCAACCTCTAGAATGAATAGACTCGAACTCTTCCCCCATGGCTTCTTAGACATTTTTCTGGGTTTTCTCGGACCACTGGTTGCTCTTCCCATCAATACCTTCCTTCCTCCCTCACTCCTCACTCATGGGATGGAAGTTGAGCTTGAATGTGAGAACTGTGGCTAGGGTAGAATGGCGGGGTTGTACGAAGGAGGACAGAATGGGCAGGATGATGTAGCCAGTCTGATGGATGGGGGGGCGGGGAAGGAAGGGAGTCCAGGTCCTGACTTGGGTACGTGGGCAGGTGATAGATCACTTACGCAGAGCCACCCAGAATGCTATGCTTAGGAAAGATGTTGAGTTATCAAACTCAACCTCAGTTTCCCTCCACACCTGATCTCGGCACACTGTGCCATCCTAACCGCTCACCTTCACTTTGACCATAGCAGGTCAGCTCTGCTTCCTGCAGCAGGAAGCTGATCATTCTGTTCCCCTTATTCCTGACATTGCCTCTGACTACAGACATGTAGTTGCTCAATAGTCTGTCCCAGGCCCCATGCTGGGCTCAGTGGGCCACAGTACCTGTCCCCAGAGGAGAGAGGAACACCTGCCTGGCCGTTTGAGGTTCTGAGGCTGGCCCATAAGAAGTCAACCAGGGTTCTCATCTCATATCTTCTTCCCCCCTGGCAGTATGGCATTGGCTGCTGGAGACTGGTAGCTGGATCGTCCCTGCTGTGACTTTAATTTATCTGATCTTGTGCCTGGGTTTCCTGTTGGTCTTTCTTCATATTCGAAGAGGTGAGTTATGGCCTGCTCAATTCCAATTGACCACCATCTCTCTCTCCTCCCCTAACTCCCTGTCCCCAGACTTCCAAAGCTACCCCTCACTCCTCTCACCCCCAAACTTCCTGAGTCTTTTGAAATTTGAACTCCAACTCCCATCTCCTCCATTGAATGGACTGACCTCCCCAGCACCCCCTAAATCTGCCAAGTGGCCCTTCCTCTGATCACGGCCCCCCTCTTAAATGCCACCAGCGCTGACCCTGAGGAGGAAAAGAAAGCGAATGACTGACCCCACCAGAAGGTAAGCTGCAAGGGTCCCCCAGCCCCCACTCCTGCACTTTTACTTTACTTTCCTCTGCTCAGGGTTTTTTCTCCATCTCTGAGGTTACAATACTGCTCAACCTGCAAAGCTCAGCTCCTAACTATCGCCTCGGTGAACCCCCTAAGTGATCCCTGTACCCCCTCAAGTGTATCCGCCAGTCCCCTGCCGGCCTGGCCTCATGGTGCGACTCCCCTTTCTCCCCCAGGTTCTTCAAAGTGACGCCTCCCCCGGGAGGCGGGGCCCAGAGCCAGTACGGGAACGTGCTGTCCCTCCCCGGGCCCACCTCAGGCACTGGTAGGCGGCACCGCCCCTCTCCGCGCCGGGGCCCCAGCGCCCCAGCACCCCCGCGCTCCTGCGCGTGGATCCCCTAGGCTTCCGCCTCCCGAGGAGAGCCCGCCCCGGCCGCGAGGCCCCGCCCACAAGGCCCCGCCCACACCAAGACCCGCCCCCCTGGATACACAACCCTGATCCCAGGCGCCGGACGTGCTAAGGGGTCCGAAAGCAGAACCTCACCACAGGAGGCTACGCCCCAGGTTTAAGCCCCGTCACTGGCTCAGAGCCGGGTGCCTAGACCCCGAGTCCTCCCGCAGGGTCCGGAGCGCCCCTGCTCTTGCCCCGCGCGCAGATCCTGAATCATGACTGTCCCTGTCTCCTCACCTGCCCCCTGCAACGCTCCTCTCGCCAGCACGCTCCCAGCGCTGGGCGGCAAGCCTGGGGGCCGCCGTGCAGTCCTACGGACACCCGCTCAGCGACGTCCAGGAGGCCGGAGCCGCAGCGTCCCGCAGCCCCCTGGGAGCGGGTAATGTGGGCATCGTCCTTACTTACACGTGGGGGTTTGGACCGCGCTGTGGTAGGAGTAAGTGGGCTGGGTTCGGGGAGAGGGCCTTGTGACTCGGTTCCCAGCCCCATCCCCAAAAACCCAGGCCCAGAAGAAGAGGAAGGGGAGGCTTACGAGGAGCCGGACAGCGAGGAGGGCTCCCAGTTCTACGAGAACGACTCCAACCTAGAACAGGACCAACTCTCCCAGGGTAAGACCGCCTTCCTCCAGGCTCCCACCTTCTCAGCGCGGGCTGTGGGCCCTCGCTGGAACCCTGTTGTCCACCAGATGGCAGTGGCTATGAGAGCCCTGAGGACGGGACTTTGGATCCTGAAAACGATGATTCCTTCTCCAATGGTAATTGGGGTCCTTGTGGAAACTGAGACTTAGGGTGATCAAATAGGCAGGGGAGCCCCTACAAGGCAGTAGGCCCTGGAGTTCTTTTTTTCTGCAGCAGCTGAGTCTTATGAAAATGAGGATGAAGCGCCCCCTCAGCCAGTAATCAGGAAAATAGGTGTGTATGAGGATGGTCACATTTCCACATTTCTGTGGGGCAGGGTTTGTGTGTGTGTGTGTGTGTGTGTGTG